GAAGGAAGCATGAAGTGCTCCAAAATCTTCTGGTAGACGGCTGCATTGACCCTAGTCTTAATGAAGCACAGTGGTACAAAGTCCTGTTGCTCAGTGGTCTAAAGTCCTCTTTTCTTTTTGGTGCTTTTAGCAAAAGTTGCTCTCATCAGAAAAGAGGACTTTGCTTGGTCCAAAGTCCTGTTGCTCAGTGGTTCAAAGTCCTCTTACTCATGACTTAAAACAAATCAATAAATTAATGACAGATACAATTTTGGGTAATATTGGCCATATATGTGGGCAAGTTTTTTGTTTGGCAACTAATTTTATAGGTTATTTTGGAATTCCTAGTACAACATGGAAACCGTAGTACAGTGGCTTGTAAAACTAAGTTTTCTTGTCAATTTGAGGGAAAGAGTACGACAAGAAAAAGAAAGTACCCGGTATCTGTTCAGTTTGTGAGTTCTTCAGCCTGTATTTTAGTCTGTGTTGCATTAAACTAGAAAGAACAATTAAGTGGCCTTTGTAACCTTCAAATGTATGTAGAAATTTTCATAGTAGATAGAATGAATGTACACACGTATGTTATAAAAAATCACATGATTTCTAGAATTGCTAAAAATTGGTTGCTTCATTGAAGTGGAAAAATGATTCGGGCTATAAGGTCCCCCCCCCCATTCAATTGAGACCAGTGGTTAGTGGATTATAACTCCAACTTCAATTGTTAAGTGCTAGTTGTTTCTTTTAAAAGCATGTGGAAAATGTTGTTCATTCATACAAGTGTCTAAATCTTATTTGTTCTTAAATAAACCTGGAATACAAATTTTCTTGTTCGTTGTCATTTTGGTGTCTTCATGTCACTATTTAACTCTTGCCTTAATAAGTCCCTGAAGTTATCTTGTCAACATTTCAGAAGTGGTTTGCCATTGTCTTCTTCCTAGGTTTAAGAGAGGTTGACTGTACCATGATCAATAAGTTGGCTTTGTGTCTAAGGCGGACTGAGAACGCATGGTCTCTGGGTTTCTAGTCTGGTGCCTTAACCACTACATCTTTAGTATAATTTAGGGTATATGAAATATTATCTCAATCTTGAATCATTTTCTTAAGAGGAAGGAATATGACATGTCAAAAAAACGTGGGGTTCTGTATAGTAGAGTCATTCTGCTGGCAAATGTATTTGTTGGTAGAATGGATTCATTATTTCCTACTGCAAACCTCCAAAACAGATTTGGGGATATAATGAAGGATGTGGAGAATGAGGGAAAGTTCCAATACATTTGCAGAAGCTGGGCTATAGATGCAGCTTCTGATACGTAGGGTCCAACTTGTGGCTAGAGGATATTTAGCAGGCATGTATAATTATCCTATAATCTATGTAGTTAAATAAAAGGTTCATGCCACAGTTTAAAATTAATTTGCCACAAACATGCTGAAAATGAATTTCCAAGCTATCTATAAAATATAATTCTATAATAATATTATTCAAACAATACTAGTTTGCTGAAATTTATGCTGAACAAATAATATTTTATCATCATATGTTGTAGTATTGCACTTTTCTGCTTTTTAAAAAGCTGGTAGAAACAATATAGCTGCATTTTAAAAGATAAAAATCCATTACTTTTAATTACAACATACACATTCTACTTCAAAGGAAGTCAGCTTTAAACAAAACATATACTGGAGATTTTATAAAAAATGTTGACAAAATTTTGATTCTAACCTCTGACATTTCCAATTATTCTTTTGAATGCACTCTCAAATGAAATTTGCTAAATGCTCCTCCCAACGCCCCCCCCCTAAAATAGGCACATTTTAATTTCCCCCATCCCAAGCCCATTAGTGTTTTTTTTTAATAGACACATAGAAGCTAAGGTTCTCCAAATAGTTACAATTGTTCCAAGTAACACTTTTAATAGAAAATATCCTTTTAAGTAATCTTGTTACCTCACTTCCCCTGATAGAAGAAGATCTGAAGGAGCAAAGCTCCTATTATCCTAATACTTTAAGAGATTTTAACTGGAAGGCTTCAGTAACAGAAGAGGCAGCCTGTCCAAAACCCCTCGTCATTCTGACTTATGGCCCTTTTCTAGTTTTTATTATTTCATTGCTTATCCAAAACAGTTGTTTAGTTTTGTGAAGATCATGTAATTCCTTTGTAAAATGCATTAGAGACAGCTATTTAGATGTCAAATTTATCTGGATGTTTTTGTTCAATCAGTTGGAAGAGCAATAGATCCAGGCAGATAACAACTATAGATTCTGTTAGGAAGCATAAAGATTTAAATTACTATGTTACATATCAAGGTTTTATATAGGAATATTGCTATTGAAAATCCAGGTTTGTAGTTTTGATTTGTTACTAGTCTTAAGGAATAGTAATTACCCTACAGAACATTTTGAAGGATTTCTATATCATTTTTAAATAGAATCAAAATGAAATCTACTTTTATAGGACAGCCTGTTACATTTTTCTGCCATATGTAGCAAGAACAAATGCAACCAACTACAATTATCAACAACAAATTAAACTATGTGAATCTGGCAGTTTTGCATATGTAGTTTTTAAATGTTTTTATACATTTCCCTGTTTACATATGCTGTAAGTGTGCACCTGCCTTGTTTTCTACTATTTGGTCCCAACTTATACCTTTAAACTGTACTTATTTTGGAAGGTTAATTCACATGGACTCTTATATTTAACAGTTTCATGGGGTTGTTTCTTTGGGACGAAAGGAGTTTCTCAAGAGTTTTTTTTTCCTGTCTCTCTGCTTTCAGTGAAAAGAGGAGAGCAAAGCCATCCGCTTACCACAAAGCAGTCCCACCACAAAGGAAAGATTAAGGGTTTAGGGAGAGGTCAATGTGGGTTTTTCTCTAACTAAACACTTTCCTAAAGTTTCCTTGTGGAAAAATAATGAAGTCATCTGAGAGTTTTTAAAGAATTTTTATTTCTTTTTCACTGTCTGCATTCGCTTGTCTTCTCAGCATGGATGTTTAATCTTTCTAGGCTTTGTGAATTGGCCCAAATGAATAAATGGTGAGCTGTCTCTCTAGGAGCTAGCGGCTTATTCTAAGGCCCTAATCACTGAGTAAACACATCTTTGCCCTCCCTCTCTTACAACTGCTATATAATAGTGGAGATTCTAGCACAGTAACTTGGATATTGCAGGGATCCATGCTTTGAAATGCAGAATGGCTGATCCTCCAAAACAGACAGTGCCTGATCTTCTCCTGCCTCTTTCTTCTTTTTTAAATTAAATATCACCACAGAGATGCTGTTTTATTGCCTGATATTGTGCATTAGTGCCCTGGATTTTCAAGTTTGGTTTCAGTCAACATTGTTGGCGGCACTTATATGGAACTGTGCATGTTAGGCTTATTGGTGGCCTTTTCTGCAGTATGTATACTTAGTTTGGAATAACTTTTTAAATTAAAGGAGACAAACATTAATGCAATGTCTAATCCCTGTTCCAAAGTCTACTGTTCAAATTATTCCATACTTTTTAAAATAGATCATAGAATTTTCCCAAACTCTTTTTTTAAAACAATGATTTAAAATAAACTATTCATTGCAAACTAATTTCCCATTAATTTATTTGTAACTGGCATTTTTGGATAAAGATAGCCATAGCTTGGCTATACTTTCGTGACCCGACAAATGCGCGCATGACAAAAGCGTGCCAACGAAACCGTGGCGACAAAAACCACGATGTCCTAAATGCGCCCACAACAACGCGCCGACAAAACTGCGCCCACAAAAGCGCGATTTCAGTTAAGGTAAGGATTACGTTCAGGGTAGGTTTAGGGATTTCAGTTAAGGTAAGGGTTAGGTTTAGGGTTAGGTTTAGGATTAGGTTTAGGGTTAGGTTTGGGGTTAGGTTTAGAACTCGTGGTTATTACTTGTTTGTTGAAGGCATGCTTTTGTCGGCACGCTGTTGTCGGCACGTTTCTGCGCTCATTTGTCGGCGCGATTTAGAACTTGTGGTTTTCTTGCCGCAGTTTTGTCAGTCGCGCTTTTGTCGAGCGCGCATTTGTCGGTGAACCCTATAATTTATAGAACTATTTTGCAATTGACATGCCTAGTGCCATTTTCTCCAATAACCCATTACATACTTTTTCTCAGTATTACAAGCTAGTTTTCAATTTCAAATTCCAAAGTAGTTTACAATGGACATTGTTATTGGGAAAATATTATGAAATATTGATTATATATCCATGATAAAGAGACATGTTAATAAATTGGTGTATTTTCTCCTCTACCAGAATATGTTGATTCTGTGCTTGTCATAGCAAAAAAAAGTCCTCATTTTCACAGAATGTTGAGCCTTATTAAAATAATCTAGGCCTCTTATGGCAATTCCCTTATTATAAGGTACATTATTTTCCCTGACAGTATTTCAATTGTAGCTTTGAAAATTAGAATGGCTCAGGAAAAAAAAGCAGGCTAATACTTTATGTGTGCCTATATATTGTTTTTTGTTAATTTTCTTCAGCAACTGACATTCTGGGAATTAAACTGTATTTAATTTTATTTGTTTATTTAATGATAGGTGTATGTAGGTCTTTGCTTCTCAAGTTCTAGCATTCGGGGGGGGGGGGAAGAAAACACTCCTTCCAACATTTTCCTTGAGTTTATTTTCTTACATTATTTGGTGTTAGAATTGTTTGAAGACGTGTGCTGTTTATTCTTCTTTTTGTATTAGATATTTTATTTTAGTGTAATTTATTTAGTGTAGTTCAGAGCAAATTTGATGGTTAATTATCCTCTCTAGCATATTATGTAAAGTATTCTATTTACTAGTAATATATTGTGTAAATTAATTATAATTACCGTATACAGCCATAGAAAGTTATGAGCTAAAAAGACTTAAATTTAATCAACCAAGAAACAAATATGAGAATAGGATTAACAGGACTGCTGTTTCCATAGAGCTATGACAAAAATGCATGTGGTTGGTAAATATGAGAAAGATTTGATGAAAAGGTTACATTATATGTATATTAAGGCACACACTATTAGAATTAAGTAGAACTGTATATTATATGAAATACAAGACTGACTACAGCATTCCTTTGTTGAATTTTTCTCCTTACTTAATGGCTGGGAAAATTATGGCTTGTTATTAGTCAGACAATACTTGCAGTAAATGTGATTAGCAGTTGATTTATTAAATATATTAATTAATTAAAGGATATATAATTATATGTTTTCATTTTGTAATACAAACAAAAATTTGTTAATGTAAACATAATCTAAAATTCTACAAATAGCCTACATTTAATCTACTTTCTCAGTAATTCCACCAGGAATAATTGTTCTGTGGTAGCTTTGCCTGTATCAATATTGTCCAATCTCATTAGCTTTAAGACATGTAGACCAATACCTAGAATTTCTCAGTTGGAATGAGTTTAAGGTTTTAGATTGAAAAACCCTAAGGTTGAAAACCCCTAGTTTATAACAACTTTCCCTAACCTCATTTCTTAGTCTTCAACTGCCATAATGTTTTAAGCATCAGGCAATGGTTATAACTCTTCTTAAGCGAACTTATATTGTGTAAGGATTGTCTATGTATAGTATATAAGACATGAATTACATTTATATTATGAAAATTATAATTAATTTCCATCGTTATCCAAATACTGTTTTTCTGTATTACAGAGGAAGCTTCTTGCTGTCTACCTCCACCAGGATGAAAGTGTGCTGACTAATGTATTCTGTTCTCAAATGCTGTGTGCTGAATCTATTGTTTCCTACCTGAGTCAGAACTTTATAACATGGGCATGGGATATGACAAAAGAAGCAAATCGAGCAAGGTGAGCTGTTTTGAAATTGAAATTGATTATTTTAAAATCCTGAGATTTGCTTAAGATGAAACTACATATTACAGAGTAAGAGCGCTACTTTCAGGACCAGAATATTGTTTTCAGTACAACCCCACTATCTTCTTCCCAATTTTTCAGAACATCACCTAACCTTATAGAATAGATTTGAATGTGCATAAAGACAAGGGAGAGAGAGAAAAATCACTGAGGGGAAAAGAGGAATAATTTCATGAGATTTCAACTATATTATAAAGTCTTTAATACAAAATGATCAACTATTTTAG